AGCTGTCGATTCGCCCGTGATACGCTGGATGTCGGCAGGGCTCTGGGCAATGAGGCGGGTAGAAGCGCGCCGCCTCCTAGGGGCTTGGATTTCCTCATCTTGATCCTCTGACTCTTCCGAGTAGGTGAGAGAAGGTGCGACGGAAGAGACGCTGGGCTCCTCGGGAATGCAGTTGCTGGTAGCCCCGATGAGTTGGGAAGCCATGGCCGTGGTCGCCATGGTGCTGTGCATGGCGATGTTTCTGCGTATGTCGTCGAGGATGTTGTTTAGGTGGCGGAAATACAGATACCGATGACCTAGACGACTTTGGTGGGTGACCGTGGGCCAAAAGACTTTGGCGTAGAGGACGGCGTAAAGTATACGTGAGTGAAAGGATGGAGGGGCGGATAGTCAGTAGGTCCTCAGCATGCTGTGGTGAGAGCGGGACAGAAGAGGTCTTGTAGGAATCGGTGAGTGGCTGTGGGTTGTCAGATGGATGAAACCAGGTTGGGGAATTCTTGATCAGATAAGTTTGATCAGATAAGCCGAGGTGTGTGTGGTGTAAGGTAGGGAAAAGAGAAAAGGAGCGAAAAAGTATCGGGCGGAAGGGTGAGGAATGTTAAGTTTTTGGGACGTGGAGAGGTCGATGAGGTAAACGGTAAAAATGGTGGGAAAACCTGGTCCAGGCCCCGGGAAAAGAAAAGGCGTATGAAGTAGTAGGGGCGTAGGTATCCGTACTTGGTAAGGAATAGGTGAGGTTTGTCGATCTCTAGACCGAGGAAGTACGGATACTGGAGCACGGAATGTACTCTTTTTTTTCTGCACGTTTTTAAATTTCGACTGGAACCGGCCGGAAAAGACAGGCACAAGGGCTTGATGATATCCAGGCTGGCCAGTAGTGAAGGAGTACTCCGTACTCCGTATACTGCGTACTAAAGTGCGTAACAAATGCAAGGTAAAAAGCGACCAGGTGCAATCGAGTAACAGTGAGGAAAACGAAGAAGAGTGCAAAGTCTCCGTTTTTGGGTTGCGACAGGGGACCCTGGAATGCTCCTGTTGGGCCTAGCCGCCACAGCGGTGGCACCGTGGTAGTGGCCGCAGCCGGACAGTGAGTGGGTCTCTATTATCGCACTGTCCACGTGCCGGAGATGTTGGCACTGTCCACGGTACCCAGGTACGTCTTCTTTTCGGGCTTGGCTTGGCCCCCAAGCGGCGGCGACGACGGGCTGCGCGTCATGATTTGATTGCTGATTGATGACCTGAGCATGCAGAGAGCATTTGTTCATCTTGGGTAATGATGAATGGCCACCGGGTAATAATGTGCGACACTGACAGCTGCTGATGACTGTAACACCAGCACCGCCGTTGACTAAGATTCAGCCTCGATCCGGGCACATTTTGGTTGGCACGGTTGGGTAAACTGAATAGTACATACAATTTACGGGTACTGTTGCAATGGACTGTCACGACATGCCGTTACCGAGCAAAAGAAAGAAATATGTGAGAATGCGTCACGTCAATTCTAGCACATCCGAGCTCGCACTCGCGCTCGGGTGCTTTCCACATTTCCATTTGCTTTTCAGGCTGCTTTCGCCCAAGATGCCCTGCCTTATCAATCAGATTACGGAGTAGTAGCATCAGAAATGCAAGCACTTGCAGAAAAACCGAAGGAAGTCACGGTCCACGGGCACCAAACACGAGACCGCGCGCTGGGTCCTTTCTTGTGTTCCTAACAACCCTCCACTTTTGCTCTTGGCCGATGTCGCCCGCCCCGATGACGACGAGACATGTGTACGCAGTATTGGGATAGGTACCTTCTGGCATCTGCATTGTCACCATCCCGTTCATTCAATTTCCTCGGTGCTTTCTTTTCCAAATCGACACCTCGGGCTCAGCCTCTCCTGCAGCGATTGAACCTCGGGACGCGTCGACATCAACGTCAATGCCATGCCCGGCAAGGTAGGTAAGGTAGGTAATTGATTGTCACAGCCCGAGGTGCAGCGGAAGGCATTGCATCTCCTATCTTTTCTCCTTCCACATTCCGATCCGCTAACGTGGAAGGTACGAATTTAGTCACTCGCTCCTTCTTGCCTTGCTTCCACACCACTCTAGGTAGGTACTACTACTACCCTAGGTACTCTACGCGGTTCACCCCACTCCACCCGCCCCTACCCGATTCATCCTCTTTTCCCGGCTTTTCTTGCCCGGCTTTTCTCAGTCTTCTTCCGCCTGGCTCTTTCTGTCTCTTGTCACTTCCCGTCGCTCTTGGCAGAGGTGATGGGAACCGAGCCGGTTGCCGGAAACCAAAGGTAAAATGAGGTAAGCTGATCCGCTCACCCACTCTTGTTGGGCTTTCTAACCACATCATACATGTGCCACAGTAGAATATCCGTACCAAGTACACTACCGTGCGCAGCAGACTGCTCGCTTGCGCTTCGATCCTCACAGTGCCAGGGTCGCCGCCCATTTCTGCTGCACTGCGGTGGACTCTTGTCCCGCACAACTGGAAAACCTGACGATTCACCGTTCCCCGTACTTGCACATCCAACGACATCGTACATTGCTGCATCGCATATCGCCGCCACAGAACAAGAGTGTGGGGTTTCCTCGCCCGCTTGCGCACTCCAAGATCCATCTTGCTGGTCCATTATGCTGGGCCCAACTTGCTCCGGACTCGCTGGCCATTGAAAGAGCCCTCATTTCACCATACCCCCTCACGATTGCGCTCTCCCGTGATGCTATCCAGCTACCATCGTGCAGCACCGGCTACGCACAATGAGGTGGCCGCACCCCTCACTTTCACTCTGTCGCTGAGATAGCCGCACAGAGTCCCGATACTGTCCCTCCACCTTCGGAGATGGACAACACGGCAGTCTTCTGCACCTCCCACGGCACCACTTCAACACGCTCCGCGGCACCAATGCAGCAGCACCACCAACTTCTCCCGGTCTTGATCTTCAGCTCCGCCGTCCTGTCAAAGAAGCTCCGTCCACAGTGTGCAGACCTGGAAGCCCCTATTACGCTATTGCAACGTCGGAAGCACCTATCTCTGCGACTCGGGGTCCTGCCCACGACCCCAGACTTGCCCTCCAGGCCCTACGTACCACACCACGCACTCCTAAACAGTGCGTTCCAGCACGTTGGGAATCAGCCACCCCCGAGTCGTCAGAGGCATTATTGCTCGGGCATGCCTTCTACTAAGCGGTAGGGTTTGTCCCTCCACAACAATGGTCACCCCCAGGGCCCCAGACATTCTTGGGCGAGCTCAGCCCCCCGTCACGAATTGGACCCAACGTCTTACCGAAGCAATTTCTCTGCGCACCACGGTCATTCGATGAAAACAGCACCATGGCCAGGCCCAAAAATAACGACTTGCAATACAATTCACCGCTCACCGAAAACCAAAAGGAAAACACGCCAAGCACGAGTAAGACTCGGTCAAAGGCCCTGTCGAGTCAGCCCACAATGCCGAGCCATGAGCCGTTGGGTTGCCACTCCTTTGCGCCGGCTCCCTTCTAAGTTTTTTCCAAAATCGCACACTGTATACCGATTCCCCATGGCAAACCTACCCTACACAGTACACAGCAGAGTCTCCCCCCATGCTGGCCGTCACCATCTGATTGTTGCGCATCAACTGTCAAATCCCAAGAACCACCAGCATCAGCTCCGCGTGCAGACCTCCATGCTGCATAACTGACGAAAGGTGTCCCGCGGAATGCAACGCTGGTCACCCGCTCCTCTCCTAGGTGGGATTGGGCAAAATTCGCCGGATTCCGTAAACACGCGCCCCGGCTGCCGTTGCCGAACCGAGGAATTCCGGCCGTCTCCCCATCTCTAGACTCGGGCAACGACGGTCGGCTCTCAACAAGACCGCTCACGTGAGCGTATCAGAGTTCTGATCTTCTGATGCTCTCGGTCCATCTCAACATGCTCTTAGACTTTGCATTTGGGTTCGCAATGCTGTCTGCTGCATAAGATACCGTGACAAAACTTCCTCCGGGCTTGCCTTTCATGCTTCGACCGCCCATCTCCGAGGTGGTTGCACAAGACAAAACGTCACAAGCAAAGAAGATCGGCCGCGTTGAGCCAGACGACCAAACGAAATGAGGGATGCTTCATCTCGTGTTGCCCAATGGACCAACCATTTCCGCACCTTGCTTTTCCTGACGGAATGCCACACGCACTGAACCATCCGATCCCTGTCCGTAACCATTTCATCCAATCATGACGCCCAGCCAATTCAGCTGGGGCTGTTTGGCTTTTCCACCGGACCAAAGCAAGACACACCCCAATCTTATCGCACATTATCAATCTCATCAAATCAATCGCATCTAATCTGATTGTATTCAATCTCCGAGACCGGCTGCTGTCAAACCCCCGGTCGACACCCACGCTAGTAAATCCTCCCAACGCAAACGAGCAAGCACACTTGAAATCTCAAATCAAAGACCTACGCGATGTCGCGAAGCAGGCCCCGCTCGCGTCTCCCTGCGCGTCTAGTGATGTCTCATCTTCATTTCGAGCTTGTCGCGAGCGTTCTCCTGAGGCTCCGGCCTGAGCTCCCGTTGCTAGTGTAACCCTCGACTTACTCCACTAACGCCAATACCCAGCGACATGGCATGGGTTCGATCTGATAACTTTATTCGCTTCTCCTACTAATTACAGCGGCCGACTGATCAACGCCTTCGCAGTTTCGGTCTTTCAATCGCTCGCCTCTTCGGTGACCGACCTCCCTCCTCCCCTTGGCTGTTTCAACCGTTCCCAACCAATTCTCACCCTTTGGGATTTGTTTGCGCGGATCAGCCGGATTACTTCCCCGTCGACATGCCCTGTCATGTTTGGGTTGGAGTTTACATCCATCCGGATGTCGAACCTGGCTCCCGGAACGAAACTGAAATCCTGTTTTTTCCGTTTCTCTCTCTGATTTGCTAGCCTGTCGACCAGCAGTCTGCTCAACAATAAGGCATACTTCGCCAGTGTTGCTCTGCGACCAGCAGTAACTGCAACATGGGCAACAAGAGCAGCAATACCGCTGCATTTTTGTTCCGAAAATACGTACGAAGTGGTCGCTCCCAGTTGGCGAACTGAGACCCCAACAATCTGCTACCCTACTTGGTATTCTGATCCTGGCATCGTGGGGCGCTCTGGAAAGATTCTTTCAAACCAGCCTCCTTGTCCGCCCCAGCATGCTCGTGTTCGCACGTGAGCTCTTCGCCCGCTCGGCACCCACATCAGCATGGTTCGTCGATCTCTCTTCACAGTGCGACCAAGCGTACATCTCCACACTGACGGGCACTGCGCCAGTCCCTATGCGTTCCTGCGTCTCCGGGGGACTTGTACCCCTGGATGCCGGTCCATCGAAACTCTCACCTAGCTCAAGCCCGGCCCCGGGCCTTATTGCGACTGCTGTGTGGTCATCTCGGCTGGACTGCCGGCTACCGTCTGACCAGGCATGTGCCTCTACTCCGTACATGGTAGGCTAGGGAGCCACGAAACGTACCGGCAATTTGGTTGAGGCAGGCTCGTCGTCGAGCACCCTGGCCTCCTTCTTATTACGCCTGTCTTCCCCCGAGGCTTCCAGAAGGTATGGAAGCGAGATGATGGTGAACATGGCGATCTGGGCCTTTGACCTCGATCAGAGGTTGGGCTACGAGTCTCAATGACCGAGCCCGGGCCGACGATCGAAGAGACGGTCTCGGGGCGCTCGTGACTCAGGGGCTGTGGTCTGCTCCAGGTGTTCATCTCTGAAGTACGAAGTTGTAGTCGAGAGTGATGATTCTTCAGCCACCATCTCAGGGGTTCGAGAGCCACCAACTCTCCTGATTATGTGCCGCAGCCGTCAGCCACAGACAGCTCTCGTGAGGCGTCTCTGAGTGGCGATGAGAGCACCGTAAGACGGATTGCTTCGACGGGTCATTGGTGGTTCACTTTACTGAGGCTAGCTGTCACGCACCCCAAGGGCCTTTTTTATCGCTTACTGCAGCGCTTATCCATACACTGGAATCAGTACCGCACGAAGACGTTGAGCCCGAGAGCGAGCAATCCACTTTCAGCATGCTATCGCAACCCGCCACTCAGACAAGTGGTTGTCCGCCGAGAAGCATTTCTACACACGTTCACGACTCAGTGGGCTTGAGGCAAGATATAGCTTGTGTTCTGAATTCATGCCCATGAGTCTCAGCACAAACTGGGACTGACATCCTTCAGAGTTCAGACTTTAGGGGTAACAACTCGGGCCCGTCTTTGCGCCGAGGTCATTCTGTCCACGTGTACATGACAAGAGTTAGGTCCGATAAACCGAAGCCTCTCGGCTACATGAGAGAGCAGCATCGCGAAAGCCGAGTAATGGTCTGTGACCCCCGACGTAACGTTCACTGATGGTAGGCTTGTGCCCGACGGTACATGATGTACTAATTATTCGCTATATCTGACCCCTTTAGTAGCCTACCTGCCCCCGAGGGCTACGGACCTGATGAGCTCTTCTAGATCCCGAGCTTAGCGAGGCCGGAGGTGCCCTTTGGCGGTTGCTCAAACGCTAAAGAGGAGCAGAACGCAGCACATTCAGTGAGAAGAGGCTACGTGGCACTCTTTTGTCGTCAAGTTTATCGCATCTACGCAGAGTCCAGATTCGATCTTCATGAAAAGAGCAAGAGGGGGGATGTTGCAGATTGATCCACATTCCGCACATTATATGCTGGTGCAAACACCATCCAATTTGATGCCAAATGCAAAGGGCTGCCCTTGTAGTCAATCTTTGCGACTCTTGGAGGGGAAACGATGCCAATCATGCACATTCGATGGCTTTTTTTGTATGGCAGTGCAGTGTTCGGGGGTGGTTCCCCAGTCGCCTAGGGACGAAGAAAACGTAGCAACTGCCCTACCGAGACACTATTCCCAACCCCTAAATCGAGGTGCAGGCTTAAGCTTGAGGCGGACACGATGGATATGCAGGCAGACGGGATGACGTCTCGCTGTCAGATATCTAGAGCGATTGCTTTCTCGAATCCTGTCCCTAAGCGAACGCCGCCATCACGGGATAACTAAATTAAGAGAGAGGGTTGAATCTACATCTAAAACCACCTTTTCCCTGCTAGCAGCCTTCAATGTTCTGATGGCCAGAGATGAAGCTCTATTGTCCCCGCCCCCCACCCCCCTTTTTCAATCCCCCTTAACTCCCCATTCTTCTTACATTTCCTTAAAGAGGGCTTCTTGTAAACAGCGGTACGATGCGCTATTGCAGTACGTCCTGGCTGGCCCACACTCTATCCGTCTGCATAGGGTAATTAACCATTTCTAAGCTCCAATTGAAGGGTCTCTTTCTTCTCAGCGGCGGAAAAGCTGACGGAGTTATTTTGTTAAATATATCGAGTACGGATTAGCTAGGGAGATGGACTATAGATCTAGGGTGATTCAGGGGCTCTATAGCCCGTCTTGGAGCTTTCTTCCGTTTTTTAAGAGCCTGTCAGTTAAGACACAGAGACAACGTAATATTAAGAAAAGCATCTCTAAAGTAGCGAAGTGGGTTCACTCACTTACATTGGTTTTCTTTTTACTTTCTCCGCTTCTTCAGCTTTTGCAGCCTACCTTGTGGACTATTAAACGTAAGATAACTATAGCTATAGAAGCCTGCTTGTACACTCCTCGCGCCCCCGACCTACTCTTCTCCTTTGATCGTAGAGGTTAACGATAATCAGAACATAATAGTATATGCTTTCAAGTATTCTGTCAATGGCTTTCATAAATATACTTTGACTGAAAGCTCTAAAATAGGAGAAATTGTTAGTCCTAAAGACAGATTTCATACTATATTTTGTCTACGTGAGAAACAAGAATGATAAAAGGTTACTAATAAGGTAAGGTATTCAACACAAATGGGGGAGGCTGACCTATACCTATCGAGACCTCCTCTAGCTTCTTCAACGTCACCCTCCTCCCCCACCCCTCCCAGGTATACCTAACGCTCTCAAAGCCTTGTGTTGTGAAAAAGCGTCTCAGATCATGGGAGAAAGAGATGATGTTCGGAGCCGAGATAGGGCCCTTTGCCCACTGCGTCTTAAGCTACAAGACTGGACACGTTCGGCTCGGGAACATCGGCAGTGGACCGTCAGGGGGCATCTTATATAAAGCGACAATGATTGCGTACACGTCTCCTGACCACGCAGATCAAGCTGTTCGAGTGTCCCGAGCTGATTGAGCCGACCGAGCTTGCCGAGGGGCGAAGCAGTAGAAGAAGTCAAAGCAGCAGCACCGGAAGCAGCAGCACCGGAAGCAGCAGCGGGAGCAACGCGAGGCTCGCCGAGAGCGTTTCCTGCCGGGTGAAAGGCAACGATGGCCTGGTTCTCTCGAGCTCGGGGTCAATGAGAGGATAGTTCTCGGCTTGGACGGCATCGTTCTGGCTCTGCCGGGCGGGCTCCGGAATAAAGGCAGCCCGATGGGTTCAGTAGTTTTGTTACTTTTTTTTCTCACTTCTCGGCCTCGTTCGTCGCTGACCTTATCGTTAATGAATACGTCCGGCGTAATCACGGGGCGTGAGTCGCCCCATACTACTTTATGCTCCTAGGAGGTTATTAATGAGAAATCACGAAAAGCATTGTTGCTAGAACAAGGTAGAGTCGACGGTAGACATTCCAAGTACTAGGGATGTGGTTCATCGTTATATCTCCAAGTTCTTGAGAAGAGAAACACATTCTCTCTCCATCTCTTATAATCGTGTCTTTGTTAGCTAGTCTCATACGCCCATTTGACCCTTTCAAAAGGCCAGTGATATTGCTCGAGGAAGTTATCCAAGCAACACTGAGCTGTCGGAGCTTACCGAGACAGAGGTAGCTGGGGTGATGAAGTGATAATGTCTCCTCCCTCTTATAGCCGACAGAGACGGCAGTGTTGAACGTGGTAATAATTACAGTAGTTCACTTATAACTCGAAATATGGGCCGAGAAAGATATACAGGGTCTCCCATAACATGAAAGTTTGTATCAATTAAGGCCTCGTTGATGAAGTAGGTAAGATGTGTTCACCTGGGAACAAGCGACGATGTAGTTAATGCG